TGCCTTCCATGCCCTCACCCCGGCCACTACCTTCAGCTTCATCTCCCGCCTCTTCCTGCCTGGTCCCTTTGAGCCCGAGAACTATTCTTCTTTCACTCTGAGGTTCCAGGCTTCCTCCTTCCCTCAAATCTCAGTTCCCACTTCCTCCTTCAGGAGAAACCCTTTCCTCCCCCCTCCAGATGCTGCACTCAGCACCCTTCATCTGCTCTTTGCATGTCCCTTAGACCAGCTCCTATTCATCCTTCAAGAGAAACCCCCTGAGAAACCCCACTTCCTTTGCTCGGGTTGCTTCTCCCAGCTCACCACGGATGTTTCTAAGCCTCTCCGTCCTCTGTTCTCTTGGTGGGGCCATTTCTACTGCTCGCTCACTAGCTTGAGAGCTGCTCAGAGGAGATCGCTGCCCCTCAACTTGCAGCCTTATGATGGAGGGAGAATCCTGCTCAGAACCCCGTTCTGGATGAATGAATAAACCATAAATAATCTACTGCTTTTAAACTTGGACATGGGAAGAAAAGATCTTTGTTTTGCTGGGAAATAGAATAAGAATTTGTGGTACTTTTTTCCACCAAAGCTGTAGTGGTCTTATTCCCAAACTGTAAGAGTAAACTGGGAAACATTCATGATTTATTTGATTTCAGTTTTGGTTAGTTGGTTTTCTTTTAGCTTTAAGGATATGCTGTGAAGACTGCTATGGTCTGTATATGGCTTGGGTTTGTCCCCTACAGGTTCATGCATTGATCCTCAATGGTGATATTGAGAGGTGGTAGAACCTTTAAGAGGCGGAGCTTAGTGCCAGGTAATTAGGTCACTGGGGGTGCTGTCTTGGGAAAGAGTTAGCATATCCCTTATGGGATCCTGTTTAGTTCCTATGAGAGTGGTTTTTTTATTAAAAAAACTGGCTTCACTTATCACCACGTGACCTCTTCCATACCTACTCCTGCTGTTAGGATGCCATCCACCACGAGACCCTCACTGATGCCAAACAGATGGTGGCACCATTGCTCTTGAACCTCCAGAACCATGAACTAAATGAGCTTCTCTGTTTATGTTACCCAGCCTCAGGTACTTCATTACAACAATAGAAAAGGGATGAATACAAATTCTCAGTTGTCATTATGTCTAGCTTTAATAAGAAAAATACTGGGGGGGAGGGAAGAAAGAGAAACTTTTAGTAACTTCCTGAAATTGTGATTCTTTCGAGGAGGATACTTCTCCAACCATGTAACATTCCCTYACCTAATATCATTTCCTCACATTTTTATTCTAACTTGTACTCATTAGCCAAACTCCACCTTCCCAACACAAATCATTACATCATCACTCTCGGTGGCTTTCAGTGGTCCCTGTCACCATCAAGTGCTTTCCTTCTGTCAAAGTCACTCTTAAACATAAACTTGTAGGGAAGCACAATAGAAAAAGAGAATAATAAGTACAATTTTTTAATGCCTGTTATCGCAGGCATTGCCCTGTGTACACTGCTTATGCCACTTACATTAGTTGACTTTGCTCGGAGGGTCTTAACAAAATTCAAAACGCCCCTTCAGTTAACCTTTCCAGCAACCCATGGAGAAATGTGTTATCTCCGTGTTACCACAGAGAGGCTTAAACAGAAATAAATGTATTATCTCCCACAGAAATAAATGTATTATCTCCCAGCCCTGGAGGCTAGAAGACAAGATCAAGTTGGTTCCTTCTGCGGGCCTCCCTTGTTGGGGTGGTTTGTTGGCAATCTTGGGTGTTCCTTGGCTTGTGATTTCTGACCTGTAGGCACTCTGATCTCTCCCCCAATCTTCACATAGTGTTCCTCTTGTGTATCTGATTAAAAATTTTCCCTTTTTATAAGGACACCAGCCATCTTGGAGTAGGGTAGGATAGGTATACTTAATCTTACTTAATTTCATCCACAATGAACCTATTTCCAAAGAGTGTAACGTTCTGATATACTGAGGAGTTAGAGCTCCATATATGAATTTGGAGGGAGACAAAATACAATTCATAACAACCCCTCATTTAACCTCTCCAACAACCCACTGAGAAATGTTTTATCTCCGTATTACAAAGGTTGAGTCCAAGGATCAGTGAGGCTGCATAACTAACCACCTCAGCCTAGAACCATCAGTGGTGAGGAAGCTGGGATTCAAAACAGGGTCTGATTCCAACCCCCAGGCTCTTCTCGATGTCTAAGCCAAATACCTTCAGTTACAGTCTCTGCCTTAYTTCTTTTAGGCTTGGTAAATAACTGTCAACTGATTGAGTCTGGGCCTTTTCACTATTACATAATGATTTAATTCCATTTCAAAATATTTACCAAGTGCTTGCTACTGTAAGTATCTTCAGGCCCTGGGGTTCAAAGATGATTTGAAACATGGACCAGGCTTCAAGGCACTTAAAATTTAATGAAAGAGACATACATATAAGCAAGTCACTATTTCATAAGGAACATTAAGTAAGTGTTGGGAAGAGATTCAAACAACGTTGCTTGGAGGATTAGTGCTAATGGTTGGTAATTCAGCCAGTCATTTTTATATCCTCACACAGATGACCAGGAATGAGGAAAGAGTTCACCATGATGCTCTGCCATGTCCCTGCCTCCATGAAACTTTTGTGGACACGCTGTCCCACTGAAAACTTCATTTCTGAAGCAAAATTAGCTTCCTAGAAACCTGGTCTCAGCATGAGGCTCCTTCCTCTCTGTTGAGGTCATTCAATCGCTCTCAGGGAGCAGGATCTGGTTCTTGAGACATTTAATCTTAGCAAGAAGCAGCCTCTTTTCTCTGAGGCAGATAATGAAGTTTCCACGAGAATGCAGGAGGACATTTTCTTTAGTGCCCATGTATGCCCAAATGTCACAAATCTGCCCTTCTCTCAGGGAGAGGTACTCAGAGGTGAATAGAGCCAATCTTTTCTTTACTGTAGCTACCCTGTCTGCTGGCTGAGACATTTTCAATGAAGGCACTTCTTCAAAGCAATGTTATATACAGTCTGTGTCTTTGAAGTTGTCCAATAAATACTGTAGAACTGGCATAAGTGTATCCTCCTCTTAACTGTGTACGCGGGCGCACACACACACACACACACACACACACACACAAAGGTACCTCTCTCCACTCCCAATGCAGTCAAGGCTTGTAACCAGCAGAGATGGAATTCTCTGGGCTTCAAAGAAAGATCTTCTTGCAGACATGAAAATGCCTGTTTTAAACGTATTCACAGGGTCAGATCACTTAGATTCCAACACTTCCAGAGAGAGCACACAGACCAAGAGAAAGGTGAGAGGACATTTTATTCTTTTTTTTTTTTCTTTTGCAAGGGGGTGTTGGTACCTACTTTTCGTCCTTTGGTTTTTCATTAAATGTGGCAAAAACAAAACAAAACTAGTTAGCATTTGGGTTTCTGTCTCAAAAATAGAGCCACAAACATTTCTCTAAAGTCTCAAATCTCTCTGGTCTTCTATCTGCAAAATGAATTCACTCAACGCATTCATCCAGCATTTTTTGAATGCCTATTTTGCATGAAGCACAGGGCACAGAGAAGCTCTCAAGGAGCTCAGACTGATTGCTTTGGTGATGACAATGTCAAGGATAACAACAACAGATAATGAAGATGCTGGCACCTGCAGGGTAAAGCCTGTCCTTTACTGTATCGGTGTCTGGCGTGGATGGACTACAAAGTTAGTAGCTCAGTCACATCTTCATGAGTAAGAATGGCAAATATGAAGTACTCACTGAGACACAGCATGTGGAGACAAACTATGTCAGTCAGGGAGAAAACTAAGAAAGGAATGAATTAAAAACTCTTTCCCCCAACAGGTAAATCCCCAGTGCTACTGAGCAGCTGCTAGTAGACACTATAATACGAAGTTCTTTCACTTCTGGTTATATGCCTTATGGTGCCCTGGGACATTGAGCTCCTGGTGCTCAGTCCCTCTGACTAGGGACTTATCCCAGCACCCCACCCTGACTCTTAGGCCTTCAGCCTTGGACTGGGAGTTCCATCGTCAGCTCTCCAGGTTCTCCAGCTTGCAGATGGCAGATTGTGGAACTTTTTGGCCTTCATGACTGTGTGAGCCAATTCCTGTAATAAATCTCCTCACATGTCTCTATATATCCTATTGATTCTGTTTCTATGGAGAACCCTGACTGATACACTATTTGTTTTGTCATGGCAGCTTTTGGCCCCAGACTTATTTCTCTGTTGTTGCCAGATGGCTATGGTAGCTCTAAGCATCATATCCTAATCCAACTATCTCAAAGGAGAAACATCTTGGGGTCGGGATATAGCTCAATGGGAGGGGAATTGCCTACCATATGTAAGCCCCTGGATTCAATCTCCAGAAACTCAAAATAAAACAAAACAAAAAAACTTTCTTCACCTTCCTTTTGAACAGCATAGAACTTTCCAGAAGCTCTCCCTGCAGATCTTCTCTAAAGTCTTATTGGCCTGAATTGCGGGTTCTATGCTCACTCCTAAACCAATCACTGACGGAGGAAATGGAATTACCACAATTTGTCTAACCATCAAGGTTCAACCCCTGGGACTGGAAAGGAARCCAGGACTCCCTGAAGGAAATGGCTGTCAATTCCTGAGCAAAATGGGAATGCCTACAACCAAGACGACCAGGCAGTCGTTGGTGGGAGGAAGGAATGGGGAGATGGGAGCCATCACAGTCGGCCACAGCAGGGGCACAAGCAGAAGCACCTCCAGGCAAGGATCCTTTTCTGAGGACCACAGGGCTTGACCTTGCCTCCCAGATGAGCTTCTCTTACAGGAACGAGTTTTGCTGATCTTTAGGAGAGCTGCTGAGGACACGCTGTGCTGTATATTCTGTTGGTTCCTATTACACCACCTTGACCTGAAGCCAAATTATGCATAAGAGTTCTAAATTGGTTTATGGCTAGAACAGGCGAGCTGATGTCATTTGTCAAATGCGGCACTCTAGAATTATCTTCCCAGCATAAAACCAGGCAAAGCTTTTTCCCACAGAAGACGTGTAGGAGAAATATGTTTTTGAAACAAGAATGCAGCACGCTACRACTTACTCCATGTGGAATAACCAAGCAACGGAGCTAGCCCTTTGTGGTACTGGTGAAGCAAATGAGGCAGCCATGATCGTGAAGATGTCCTTCAGGTTTAACCACATGAAATGTGGAAAAAGAAATTTGGGTGGTGCTTCCTGAGTTGATTTTTCCTTATAAAACTGAAATTATGAGCTTCCTTGAAAAGAAGCACTTTGCTTATTTTTGCATGCAAATTRCTCACAGGTAAATAAGGCTCAATATATTTTTTTAAAATCCCCAGTTTACCTATACAACACTGTTTGTGTAGGTATCGAATAGCTCTCTTCTGATTAATGGGTTAGAGTGAAATTCCTTCAAAATTATCAAAACTAGAAGACTCTCAAGTATTGCTTACTCTTGGCAATATTACCACCACTAAATCTTTCTTTGCAGATGTGAAAGCTTTCTCCCAGATTTACACCAGGATTCTCAGCAATGGTTGTACACTGAATCATCTGCAGGTATTTGAAGTACATTGATGCCTTGGAGTCACTCCCTGAGTTTCTGATTTGATACAGGGTGAAGCTTGGGGTACTGACATGTTCTAAATCTCCTCAGGTGATTCTAACATGCAGCCAACGTTGAGCACCAGCATCAAAATCACCTGGAGGGCTTATTATGACTCATATTGCTGAGCACAACTTTAGTTTCTGATTCAGTAGGTCAGGGATGAGCCCAAGGATCTACATTTTTAATGAGTTCCCCAAAGAAGCTGATGTTGCTGGTCAAGAGACCAGAGTTTGAGATCCATTGCTGTCCAGTAGAGTTCAGCCAACTCTAGGTCACAGGTCTAATCTGGCTGGAGATCTGTTTTTGTATAACCCATGAGCTAAGAATATCATTTTAAGAAAGTTGTAGAGAAAGAGAAACAAAACAACAGCAACAAAAGAAAGAAAAAAGACGAAGCAAAGACACACGGCTTGCAAAACCTAAAATGTCTACTATCTGCCCTTTTACAAAAAGTGTTTATTGATCCCTACTCTAGAGGATCTTGAGGTCTTGCGGGGGCAGGGAAACAAGAATCCAATCGAGCATGGAAAAACCTTTGGTGGGGAAATATGTTCTTAAAGGCATAGGGGAAACTCTAAACATAGCTGAGAGATTATTAATCCCCTACAATGTGCCAGGAGAGTGGCCTAATTTCATTATAATTATGATAATACAGTTATCACTGCCCTTTAGGTCAGGAAATTGAGAGGCTCTAGGGATATTAGCTTGCTAGTATCTAAGGCCAGTGGAGTGATAGACCTCTGATTTAAACGTTTCTACTAACGATACTATGTCCTAGAAAAGTTCTGTTTAGCAGTGGCTGTAATTCCCAGACTGAGTCTAAAAATATAATAAGYGTACGCATCTAAAAGCATCATTTTTTTTTCCTAGTGATTTGGTTCAAATTGTTATTGACCTCAGACATTGTGCCAGGCACATGTGTTACAAAACCCTGACAATTATCTCTGCCCTCAAGGAACTTAAAGTCCAGTGAGAGAAACAGATATGGACAGAAGCCCAAAGTTCAGTGGGGTTCAGAGGAGGGAGTGGTTAGGTAAAGTTTTACAGAGCAGAGGGTCCTTAAAGGATGCTAGTTCCCCGGTTGGACAAGACAAAAAGGTTTCCTAGTGGAGGAACCGCACTGATACTTTAATACAGGTAAGTTCCAGATGGAAGGATTTTCCCATCTTGAGGAGACTCGCAGGACTCCTGCAGACTCCACAGCTCAACTTTGCCTTGGGCATCTGGCTCTACAAATAAGACACAACTCAGCAGCCAGCAGAAAGGGCCCCTGGCCAGCCAGTGACCACAGCACTTAGTGTATGACAGTAAATGTTGATCCAATTTTAGTGAAACAAGAAACTTTCAATTCTATTTCATGGGTTTATGTAGTCATTTCCAAGCAAGGTTATTAAAAGAAATGCTTATTTGAGTTAATGCTTGGTCTGCTGACGGACCTGCCAAGTTGTAAAAGAACGTGATAATGACACAGGGTTGGGTTTCACATGGCCACTTTTGGGGCAGAATAATCTGAAACCTCTTATTTTTTTATACGTGTGATTTGTTGCACTGAGCTGGGAAAGCAGGCAGGATTCTGCATCATCAAACTGATCCTTGTTCAAGAGACTAATATAACACTTCTCATTTGAATTCATTTCTAAGGTCAAGGTTCAGATAAAACCTGTAGGAAAGAAATAATTTGAGTTGCCCAGCATTGTATTCTGAGGCTACAGAGAGTAATGAATTCACAGTTCTGTTGGGTGCAGTACAGGAGGCAGGCATTGGAACACAGAGAACATCAAAGCAGCTTAGTAAATGCAGAGGTCAAGTTTGGACAGCCAGAACCCAGATGAGGCACCCTAGGCTCCAGGGGACTTAAGAAGTGTTGTGGGGGAGACTGTATTGAGCAGAAAATTTCCTCTGAAGTCTGATGGCAACCACTTTGACTATTTCTTAGTGACAGGTTGTTCCCTCCCTCTCTCTCTCTCTCTCTCTCTCTCTCTCTCTCTCTCTCTCTCCCTTTCTTTTCTTCTGTAGTGCTGGAGGACTGAATCCAGGATGTCTCCCATGCTAAGCATGCACAGTACCTCTAAGCTACACCCCAGCCCCAGGTTGGTTTTTTAATTTTTTTGTTTTTGCTTTCTTATTACAAACCACATATCTGACCCTTCAGTTTGACCTGGCTCTTAGTAATGTAGGTGTAGTCTGAGAGGAATGGTGTCATTTCTCACTGAAGTGCAGTGTCCCTGGGGAGGTAAGTTGAGACTGTTTTAAGGGCATGACTTAAGACCAGATCACAGATCTTAGGAAAGGTACTGAGCCATAACTCAACCTAGGAAAAGCAGAACGTTTATATGGAAATACGCTAGAATCTGTCATTTACATCAAGTATTCTTTTTTTTTTTTTTAAATTTTATATGCTACTTTTTAAAGCTTGGGAAAAATAATAAACAATCATTGCAGAAAATTTGGTGAATCAGGAAAAAGCACAAAGAAAAACATTTATCATATTAGCACAACCCAGAATCAATATTTTAGTATTCTGGAATATTTCCTTCTATATTTTTCTAGGCACATATAGATATATAGGGTTTAAGTAATCAAGGTTGTACTGAATACATAGATATACATAGCTTTGTTTTCATTTAACATTATTTCTTATGAATTTTTTCATAATTACACAATTCTATCAAAAACTTTCTACTTGAATGGTTTAATTATTTTAACCATTCCTTCTCTTCAAACATCTGTATTTTTCCCAGTTTTGGTCATAATGAGTAATGCAATGAAAATAATGTGATCAATATGACTTTGCCCTTGTTTGACTGGGAATTTTAAAGGTTTTTGGCACATATTATCAAAATGCTTTCCAGAAAATCTGTACTCTTGCCAGTATTAAGTATCATTATTTCTGAAATATGTACTAGAGTAAGAGATTAAACTGAGTATCTCATTTTAATTTCTGTTTGTGTTTTACTATTAATGCTGACCATTTAAATTGTTTTTAGTAGCTATTTTTACCTTTTCTTCTTAAAATTGTGCTCTTTGCTAATTTTCTACTGAGGAATTAATTTTTATACTGATTAAATTATGTGGGTGCTTTGTAACAGAAGCTACTAAATCTTTACATACTAATAAAATATATTCTTAATTTTCATTTGCCTTTAGCAATAAATAAATAATAAATAAATAAATAAATAATAAATGTGACTTTGATACAATAAAAAAGTCTATAAATTTTCATGTTTAGGTTCCTTTCTCAAATGTAAGAGAAACATCTAAACTTTACTTCATTTTTAAAACCCTTGCTACGTTTTCTCCAATTATCTCTGAAATATTTTGGAGTTTATTTTGATTTATGATGTGAGGTAAGGACCACACGAAGATCACTGATGAAAGCTTCCAAAGTAAGGCAATATTCCAGGACCAGGAGGTGTGTTTCATTCTCTTTATGTGAAACTCAGCAAGAATCAAATAGCATAGGAAATCAGAATTAACAGGGCCAAGATTGCTCAATCTTTCCTTTACTTGAAATCAGTGAGATCAAGCTAGATGCATGTTCCCCTGCATTTGACTACAGCGAGTCTAGAAGATAAAATGAATTCTATCATCTTGATCTGAAGAAGCAAATTTATTATTATCAGAATTCAAATCATCTATTAGACAAACTCTTCCAAAACCTGGAGCATGTGGGAGAAAATAAAACAGTGTCCCTGACATTCACTTATTCAATGCATATTTTTTGAGTACTCATGTGTATAGGCATGTTCTATATCTTGAAATGGCTGGAATTATAATCGCTATGTTCAGGACACAGCACCAGCATGTCTTCTTCTGTGGAACAGAGAACCTCTGACATTTTGATCTGTTTCATATGTTTGAAAGAAGCAATTCTAAAATATAATTAGTTCAGAAATGCCTTAAATATAGGACATAGCATTATTAGGAGGGAATGCAATGACAGAAGTTTCTGGAATACTCAACTACTTAAAAGGAGAGAAAAATAATATTTAGCCAGGTCTTACCCAAAGGGTATTTTTAGTATTTTAATTTTATTTTAGTATTTTTAGTATTTTTCGGTATTACACAGTCACTGGAAAGTTATACCACACTGTGGGCTGGCTGTAATATTCCAAACTTAGAAAATATTCTGCAAAACTATCAAATTCCCTTTGGTATTACCCACCCACAATTCTCAGTAGTCTAAGTTTATTTTTCTGGGATCGAATTAGAACACATTATCTTGTCCCTCTCTGGAATTGCTTCYGTTGAAGTAAGCCTGAGGCCCTTGGCATTTACTGAAAGATGGTATGACCAATAGTCTTATGAAGTTCATTGCTGCATTAATCATAGAAATAAGGACATTRTCTCACATAGCACTTGCTGTGCCTCCTGTGATATTCCATCTCAAATTGTAGGGGGTAGCTCAATGGTTGAGCASGTGATTAACAGGTATAAGGCCCTGTGTGCAATCCTTAGAACCAACTCCCCCAAAACCCATAAATAAAGTAAAATAAAATTTTTCCTATGTAGAACCATGCCTGCCACCCAACCCTTTTATAATTCTTCTGCCTAATTTATTTTCGCTTGTGATTTTTATTCCTGTGTTATTATTTGGGGATTGGTCGTTTGCTCTGATTTCACTCTTGCCAAGCACTATTCTAATAAATTATTACTTCCTGGGTAGCTTGATATWGGAGGAATGGCAAAGGCAGGGACAGTGTCCTCTTGCATAGCAGCGTAGATCAACAGCACTGGGTGCCTGGGTCACTATGCTAAGAAGGAAAGCAACCCTGTACTCAGTGAGCAAAGTCTGCCCTGAGCTTAGTAGGAGAAAGTATTGGCACTCCTACCAGATATTTGACACTCTTGTCTTAAATAAAACACATGGCTGTTCTGAGAAGAGAAGCATAAACATGTTGTTAATGCCTTACTTTTTGACTTATAAGCTAGTAATTATCAGTTTCACTGGTTCAAATCCATTTCTGAAAGCATGACTATACCTATGCAAAACAAGGTGTTGAACTTCACATTTACATGGGATCTTGGTCATAAATCTTGCTAGCCCTGGCCTTGGGACAGGCAAAATACACTTTTTCCTGGAAGGGGAGATTTCAGGAACCTGCTAACTAAGTGTCCCTCCCACTCAGGGTACGAAAATTTATAATTAGAAATTAATTTCTCTAGATTCCCAAAGCTGGTTCTTTATAAATTCTTTTACTTCAATAAATATTAAACGGGGTGACACTTGATCTCTTCCCTGTTAATTAAGTGGTTGGCTACCACTTAAGGAGGAGAGTGGATCTGGAGATACAGCGGGGATGTGAAGAGTTCTAAGGAGGCAGAAGAGCTGGGGATTTGCTTTTTTCACTATCTTGTCCTGGTTAGTCCACAGCTCACTTGAGATAAGCAATGAGTAGGTACAGGTGCATCCTTTCTGGCCATAAATAACGAGGCTTGCAGCCATTGTCTAACAAGGAGTTAAAGGGACATGTGGGCAACCACCAATGACACAAAGAGAGTCCCGCGTGCTGACGGGATTCTTAATTTTTAGTAAATAACTTGTTATTCAACTTCTCTCAAATCCAGCAGACATGTTGCTGAGAAGGGCTTGTTTTTCAAATTGGCACATTAGGAGTCATTCATCCACTGTACCAAGAACAAATACCCACGTTTCTCCTGGGTTTATGGGATCTAGCAGGCTGCAAATGATACTCAGGATGCAAAAGAAATGGAAGACCCAGCTCCTGCCTCTGAGGAGGTTACATCTGGCTGGGAGATGAGTGATGAGAACATGAAACAGCTGGAGAATAATACCAGGCTGGAAAAAATCAAGCATGAGGGTGTTGGGCTCTGACTACAAGCASTGAGAAATTTAAAGATAAAAAAGATCACACAAGGAGAGAAATCAAACAGTCGMGTTGAAAGGGATTGCAAGAGGCCGCTCTTCCTGTTTCAGGTGTCAGTAGCAAACTCTGGCTGTCCCCTGGGAACAACTGAAAACAGGACTGTGTGATATTCCACCTCTGCCCTGGAGAGCCCAGCATCCCACCCCAAGAACATCTAGTCAACCACCTYGAGAAGGAACTCACGGACTCTTGAGAATTCTAGAATCATCCACAATTTAAAAAGAAAGCAATTCCCTAGACTTCTTGGTGTGTAAGTTCTTTGTTGCTAATTATGAAATTTACTATTCCAGTCATCACTATTCTGGAGACRTCATGTAGCGTAAGGATCTGAGGATGAGTGTAGCAGATACGAATCTCAATCCAAAAAGTCATGCTCATTTCTATTTGAATTTAGGAAAACATTGGTACCATTCTGTAATCTCACATGAAGTACCCACTTGAATGTTCGGGCCAGTTGTCTGGAASGATATTCCTCTGTTTGAGTCTAACCAGTTGTTTTCTTCATCCTTTTTTTTTAAATGGATCTTTAATTTAATTTATTTATTTATATACAGTACTGAGGATCAAACCGAGGGCCTCACACATGCCAGGAAAGTGCTCTACCACTGAGCCACAACTCCAGCCCCATCCTTAGTCACTTTATATTTTATAATTCAATTTCTGTTTGGTGCCTTGCCTGAATAGGGGAACCGAGGCAGCTATTTCAGGCCCAAATGTGAAGATTTTGGTGTGAGACATGCTATCTCGACCACGTTTTCTAAGCATCACTARAATTTTCAAAATTCTGTCTTTAAGAAGATCCCCCAAAGCTTATGAAAGATGCTAACAACATGGCCTCCTTTCAAATATATTATCTTCATTTTCCTACTCTCTCTCAGTTCACAACTGAGTTCTGGAAGCTTCCATTGTGCTAAGTTGTCAGGGAGYKTCTATGAGGAGAGGATTCATTTTTTCTGAACTCATCTCTCCATGCAGCTACCTACTGACACGTCTTCACCGTGGTTGGTCTTTAGACATTGGTTCACACAGGCCAATTTGAAGACGGTTCACCAGGTCCATTCTGGACAGCCATGTCTTTCTACTGTTCTGGGAACTTGGTGAGTGAACCCACAGCCCTGACTGCCTGGGATTGGCTGCTTCCCTAGGACCCAAGGGGGGCAGAGTCTTTCTTTGTATGAATCGCTGACATGTCTATGAAGCCATTACTTGTCCTCATCCCCACCCTCCCACTCCTCAGTGCAGAAAATCCTTTTCAAGTCTGGGGCCAAGAAATCTTTTATGTAGACGGGTGGTTCTCAAAGTGTGGTCCTTGGTTCAGAAGCAGCAGGATCAYCTGAGAACTTGTTAGAAATGCAAATTTTCCCCTCCTCATTCCTACTGCATCTTAAATTCTTAGGGTAGGATCTAGTGATCTTCATTTTAATAAACTTCCCCAGTGATATTGATGCAAGAAAATTTGGAATCCATTAACTTATGCCTTGAGTTTTTTTTCCTTCCCCTCATACACTGGTTCTTAAATTTTTAATATGCATCAGAGTTACCATAGATTATTGAGCCACACCTACAGTTTCTTATCCAACAGTTCTGGGGAAGGCTTGAAAATTTGCATTTTCTGGCAGGTTCTCTGGTGAAGATGCTGATTCTGCTGGTCTGGGGACTACATTTTAGAGAAYCATTGCCCCAGAGCCCTTGATTCCATAGCTGTCCATTCTCTTCCTTCTGTGTCTTCCGGTAGGAGGCATTCCATTCTTATTGATAATTTAATCAAACACATCTTCTAGAAATTTGCTTGTGTATAAATGCTTGTGATTCTGAGTCAAACGTCACCAATTTGTCGTGGGCATATATCAGTGTTCTTGGAAAGCCACTGTCTGAAGCTGGGCCAGCAGCTCTCAATCTTGCCATCCCAGGGTCCCTTCCTGGGTCCAGGGCTCCCACAGCTGGTTCCTGTGCAGGAGAACGTCCCACAAGACTCAGAAGGAGGAAAAGAGCCCATCGTTCACCTCATTAATCTATGTTTTACAAATAGCAGGTCTGAATTSGGTTGGCTTCTTTCTGCCTAGAACCCAAGAGAAAGATACTGGGCATAATGTGGCTCCAGAGGACAGGGAAATCAGAGAAGGGGAGGGCAGGGAGGTTGGGGTAAGTGAGCCAACGCCTGGAGAGTCAAATGCTGGTTTCTTGAGGCAGACATTTTTTGCCATGGTTTGGAGTAGAAGGGAGAACCCCACGGAATCTTGAAATTTAATTCTTGTTAATTAATATCCCCAGAATTTTGGAGAAGTGGCCACCACCTGGTTTCTGCTTTCTTAAATTTAAATCCTTTCCTCTTACTCTTGTTCTCTTCCCTTCCTCCTTCTCCTACTTTTTCTTTTGCTTGCAGAGTGATCCGAATCCCCAGTTCCTTTTACCCCATTTATGTTTTGTTCTCTACCTGGCTTTCTGAAGAGACACAAATTCTCATCATCACCATTATTACATATTTTTGGTTTGGTTACCACAGAACAATTACCTGTAGTCTGCAAGGCACAGCCACACTCTCAGCTAGGCCAGGGGCCACCCCCGGTGGCTGCTTATTCTACATTTCTTAAAAAACAAAATTCTATTTTGTTAAGTGGCCCCCATGGTTCTGGATGGAAGAATCTACCAAAGAACATGCTGAATATTAGTTACCATAAGTATTTAGGTAGTTCAGCATCATTTATTAACACGTCCAAGCATCGCTATTATTAGGAAGGCCCTGAGGGTTCCCAGAACATTTCACTTACAGTAAAGTTGTGAAGACTTTTCTGCTGAAACAACACTCCATGTCAATGGGGTGACAGGGGCAGATTCTGTTCCTTACACCTGTGCTACAATAGAATGGGGCGATCTGTGCTCTTTAAATGCCTGCTCTAATTTTCTGTTTCCATCTTTTTGTTCTCTCTGGTCCTAATCACAGCACCTTATTTTTTATAGGCACTGAGCAAATATTTATGGAGTTGAATGGAATTAAATTCAATAGAGACTTCTAGTTAATGATTGGAAAGGCTTTTCTTCTCCTCTCTTCCCTGTGAGACCAAGGATAACAATACCCATAACAAAAAATAACAAACCACAGAGAGGAAAATGAAATCAAGGAAGGAGCAAGGCAGAAAATGACAATCTATGAAGAGTAACTTTCATGTATAGTAACACATGAATCAAACATAGGGAACACAGCAAAAAGGGGCACAWACCTTATACCCCCAAGGGCATGCAAATATTTTAAAGTGATTGGCTGCCCTGAGGGTCACAAGACCATCTATTGTGCATCAGTAGGTCTGGTGGTTTGCAGGTGGCTTGTGGGAATATCCCAAACTTGGATTCACATCCCAGAGCAGCAGGAGAGGAGGGCTGAGGGACAATCTGAGAAGGTCTGCTGTATCTGCAAGAACAGAGAGTCACATTGATGGGGTAGACAAGAGAAGGCAGGAGACCATCAATTTACCTGTTGCTGCTAATACATGAAGAAAATAATCAAAAATAATAAACACCAAATAGCAATTTAAAAAGCATACAAGAGACAGGTGGATTTTCCGCTTATCCTAAAGGTGAGCGGCTCCAGAGTGTAAGATCTGAGACATGTATATGGTAGAACAGTGTGAAAAAGTTCTAAACCCAGTTTGCCTTCTGCCTTTATTCAGTTCATGGACCCTTCCCATACAACCTTTTGTAAGTAATGGGTCCAGTTATATTGTGTAACTCAACTTCTATTAGGTGCCATCAGGCCAGTTGCCTGAATAGGGGAACTGAGGCACCCATTTCAAGCCCAAATGTGAAGATTTTAATGTGAGACATGCTTGTCCACGTTTTCTAAGCATCACTAAAATTTTCAAAATTTCTGTCTTTAAGAAGACCCCCCCCACACAAGTTTATGATAGATGCTAACAACATGGCCTCCTTTCAAATATGCTATCTTCATTTTCCCACTTTCTCTCAGTTCACAACTGAGTTCTGGAGGCTTCCATTGTGCTAAGTTGTCAGGGAGTTTAGAACTGGCCTTAGAGTTGAGTTGTGACTAAAAAATTAGCCACAAAGGAAAAGGTACGAGACAAGCAAGAATCAGTTAAAATATACTCACCAAATGAAAACGTGCCACCGAATTTGTGTTCCCTCTTGACAGTGAATAAGTAAACTGTGGTCTCTAGAAATAAATTAAAGAGGAGCTAAAGGTATTCAAATAAAAGGTGCAAGACCATTAAATGAGATGAGGAGAGAACAGACAACCTTTGTGAAGAATAAAGAGAAATATAAAGCCATTGTACATAACAGGAAATCACAGGTGCAGCAGGAAAGATGAATAATATTAGGGGAAAGAAGACAGGACAGAGACCAATAGGGAAAAATGCAAAAGAATACAATTAAGGAGGGTGAGACAAAAAGGAGCTCACAGAAGACGGTGGAGAGCTTTACTACCCTTGCTGTGCCAGAAGAAAAGAAGAGATGAAATGGGAAATGGGAAAGTTCTGAAGGTGTCGTAGGAAAAGCTTTGGAGGATGATGAAACCCTGCATCTCCTGCCTTCGACTTCTTTAGCTTTGAGATGAAAGTGATGAAACAGTGGGTGACCTTGTCAGCGAAGGGTCTTGCAGGCCTTCCCAATGTCTTCTGCAGGGATTGATTTATTCAAAGGTCTTCATATATTCTTCTTGGCATAATTTTGGTCATTTATATTTTACTAAGAAATTTTGTGTTGCTTCTAGATTTGCAAAGTTGTTTCCATAGAATTGCATGCAATTCTGATATATATATATTGTCCCCTTGAGATGCTAGGGATCAAASCCAGGGCTGTGTGTGTGCGGGGTAAACACACCCAGCCCTATACCCCTGACCCTATAATTATTTTTAACTCTCCGGTACTGTAATTTGCTATTTTTTCTTCTTCTCTCATTTCCAGTCTTCTCTATTTTACTCCCTCCCATTGCCTTAATCAAGTTTACAATAAGTTATGCACTTTATTGGCTTTTGGAAATGCCAGCATTTCCATTAATTTATCATTCTACTAATTTTTGTTTCTCATTTCATTAAGTTCAAATTTTATCCCTACAAATTCTCTCTTCCTAAATTACAAATAAAATTCTGGATAGATACTAATTTTTTTCATCTTTTATCTTTCTTATTTAAAATAATACACAATAGAGGCATTATGGCTTCTTATTTTTGACTTAGAGTACATCTTTGATTGGGTCCCTCAAATTCATGTATAAAGCGTTTTCCTTTTTTT